GAGACACTCAAATTACTTTGTTAGACCTCTTCGTTTTCTGTATACTTCAGTTATTAATAGAAGTTGACTTTCATTTTGAGACTATTTTTGGAATAGAAACAATATTTTCACCATTGCAGAGGAATTGTACTCCCTGTGTCAAAGACAGATAGCATGCAGTAAATATGCAGTGTAATGTGGATGTTGGACTGTCAGTAGGGCTCACTTACAAGACAGCTGACTTGGTCCTGAAACCATTCTAGCTGTATGATCCAGGTCTTCACCTCACCAAAATCAGTTTGTCTGTCATTAATTAAAGCAAGCAAGCAAAAAACAAAATGTTGTGGTATAATATTCACAGAGCAAAGAACACAAATCATAAAAGTTTCATGAACTTGTACAAAATGAATACAACCCATTAAACCAACACTCAGGTTAAGAAAACAATATAACTTGAGAAGCCTTTTAGTCATTATCTCCTCATGCTCCAGGATAACCCAGTACTTTGAATCTAACATATATGTTAATTTTCAAACATTATATGCAGGAAACCATACAGGCTTTTAAAAAAATGTTTGTTTTTGAGAGAGCATGTACATGTGTAGTGGAGGGGCAGAGAGAGAGAGTGAGACGGGATTCACAGTGGGCTCTGTTCAGCAAGGAGCCTGTCATGGGCTTGAGCCCACAAACCATGAGATCATGGCTTGAACTGAAGTTGGATGCTTAACCAACTGAGCCACCCAGGCGCCCCCAGTAGGCTTTTAAAAAAAATTGTGGCTAAATATATATAACATAAGATTTATTATTATTTTTGTTTTAGCCATTTGTAAGTGTAGAATTCAGTGGCATTAGGTACATTCACACCGTGCACCATCATCTGTCTCTAGAATTTTTTCATTTTCTTGAACTAAAACTCCCTACCAATTAAACATTAACTCTTTGTACCCCTCTCTCTCCAGTCCTTGGCAACCCCATTCTACTTTCTATCTCTGTGGATTTGACTGTTCTAGCTACCTCATGTAAGTGGAATCCTATAGTAATTTGTCCCATTGTGTCTGACTTACATTAGCATAATGACCTCAAGGTTTATCCGTGTTATAGCATGTGTCAGAATTTCCTGCCTTATTAAGATTGAATAAATTGTTTGCATATACCATCTTTTATCTGTTCATTGGTCAATGGACATTTGGGTTTCCACATTTTGGCTGTTGTGAATAGTATAGCTGTGAACATGAATGTACAAATGTCTATTCAAGTTCCTGCTTTCAGTTCTTTTGGGTATACACCCAAATGTACAATTGCTGGATCAAATGACAATTTTGTATTTAATTTTTTGAGGATTTGGTAGGCTCTTGTCATGTTTATTTTGTATTTTGTGACCTTATAAATTTCCTTACCACTGTAGGAGGTTTTCTTTTAAAGAATGCAGAGGATTTTCTCTCTACAGTCATTTGTCTGTGATAAAAGATACCTTACCTACTAACTTGGGACTTTTTTCTTGCTGTATCACATTGGCGGGGATGTCCCACGCAATGTTGAATAGAACTGGTGATAACAAACATTTTTGCCTTGTTCTTAGGAACAATCTTAGGAAGAAAATACTTGCGCTTTCACTGTTAAGTATAGTGTTACTGTAGGCTTTTTAAATAGATTCTTTCATCAAGTTAAGGAATATTCTTTTTTCCTAGTTTTATTATACGTGTTAAATATTGTCAACTACTTAAAATATTTATTTTGAGAGAGTGTTCACGTGCGACTGGGTGAGGGGCAGAGAGAGAGAGAGAGAGAGAGAGAGAGAGAGCCTCCCAGGGAGGCTTTGCAATGTCAATGCAGAGTCAACGAGAACAGATCTCACAAACTGTGAGATCATGACCTGAGCTGAGATTGAGTTGGCTGCTTAACTGACTGAGCAATCGAGGTGCCCCAGATACTTTTTTTTGAAGTCTCTTCTTTTTTTAAAGTAATGTCTACAACAAATGTGGGGCTTGAACTCAGAATCCTGAGATCAAGAGTTGCATGCTTTTCCAACTGAGCCAGCCAGGCACCCCATCAGATACTTTTTTTTATTTAAGTGAGATTATCATTTAGATTCTCTCTATTATTTTTGTTGTTATGGTAAATTACACTGATTTACTCATGTTCAATCACCATTGCTAGGAGAAACCCCACTTGGTCATGATGTGTTATCTTTTTTATAACGTGTGTATATATATATGTGAATGTATATATGTATATACCTACAAACTCACATGCATATACATACACATATTCCTGGACTTGATTTTGTTAACCACTTTTGCATCGATATTTATGAGGAAGATTAGTCCAGATCTGGAGAAACTGTGGGTGTATCTTTTACATGTCAGCTAAGTGAGTTAGCAGATCATTGACAATATATATGAGCTACAATAGCACCTTGTAGACTTTTTGAGGTCAATAATGCTTGTTTCTCATCTGCTGCCTTTTTTTTCTTATGGCCACTCCTGACCCAAAACCCCTCAGGGAAGAAGTTTTCAGAAATGTAGTTTCAGCTTAGATAAATCTGAGATCATCTTGGCCATACTTCCTATACTCTTTTTTTCTTGTTGTTGTAGGGATTATAATATAGTTGGCTTAGCACAGTCTGTCTTGAATTCTACCACTTCATGTATAATAGTATGAACTTTATAAGGGTATACTCCCATTTATTCTGTCCCAGCCTTTGTTTTATACTTGTCATATATTTTATTTCTACATGTTATAAACCTCACAACGCATTGCTATTGTTTTAGTTAGTTTTAAAGAATTGTTTTTAATGAATATAAGCAACAAGTGTCTTGTATTTACCCACATACTTACCAGTTTTGGTATGCTATATATTAAAGATTCCATCTGGTATCACTTCCCTTCAGCATGAAGAACCTTTTACTGTTATTTGAATGCAAGAAATATCTGTTGGTGAGGAATTTTCTCAGCTTTCATTTATTTGAATATTTCTTTATTTTTTATATACATTTTTTGTAAGGAGTTAGATGCAATGGTAACTGTGTTGGTATGTAAAAACATTTTGGCAAAGTATGAAAGTTGTTAGGAGAATCAAGTCTCTGTTACATCATTTTATTACTCTGCTGTTTTTAATAAGTAAAAGTCCATTTATTATGTTGTTTATAACTTAAAAGTGTTCATTTGTGTGAAATTCACATTCAATGGCATGCACTTATCTTAAGCAGTTTGATGTTTTTATAGCTGTATGTACCCCTTTATAACCATCGCCCTAACAAAGACATAGAATATTTGTTCCAGAAAGATTCCCTCATGTCTACTCCAGTCAATCCCCATGTCTCATAGGGAACCACTGTTCTGATTTCTGTCATGATAAATTAGTTTTGCCTTTTACCGGACTTCATGTAAATGAAGTCCTACAGCATGTAGGTTTTTGCATCTTCTTTCCCTCAGCAGAATGCTGTTATGTTTCATCCATGTTTTCATATATATGTAATTTAAAAAATTGCTGAGTAGTCCATTACCTAAATAAAGGTAGAGTACATTATTTATTGCTCTAGAAAGGTTCCTTCAAGTGTCTTCTAATCAATCCCTTCACGGGAATCTACAGGAATGATTTTTTATCACTATAGATTAGCTTGCCTTGTTATTAGACTTCATATAAATGAAGTCATATATCATGCAGTCTTAATCTGACTTTTCTCTCAATTGAATGCTTTTGAGGGTCATCAGATATATGTGTATTATGAATATTTTCTTTGAGTTTGTGTTTTGGCTTTTTATTTTATCTTAGAGCCTGCTATGTTTTTCTGAGATGTTACCTCTGGACTGATCCTGAAGTGTAATTTTTGTCTTGAAAGACTGCCAAATATTATGCTCTTTCAAGGCTTTTTTATACTAAGGTTTATAGCTTTCTGACCTCTAGAAGGCTAGAATTTAATAAATGTTACTTGACAGAAAACTGGTGTTACGTTTGAAGCCCCTCCGCATTTAAAAAAAACATTTTTACAAAATGTTTTATTCATTTCTGAGAGAGAGAGAGAGAATATGAGCAGGGGAGGAGTGAAGAGAGAGGGAGACACAGAATCTGAAACAGGCTCTGGCCTCTGAGCTAGCTGTCAGCACAGAGCCCTACGTGGGGCTCAAACCCACGAACTATGAGATCATGACCTGAGCTGAAGTCAGATGCTCAACCGACTGAGCCACCCAGGCGCCCTGAAGCCGCCCAAATTTTTATAAGTAATAATAAGGCAAATAATAGTATAAGGCAGAATGAAATTAAATAAAAATTATTGTTATAGACAGAGTCGTAAAAGAACAGAACAGGAAGAACCATGTGCATGATACATGAGGGACTTTAAGCCTTAATGGCTTAAAATCCAAGTTATCTTTTGGCTTTTCATCTCTCACGTATCAAAATGGAATGTGATGAAATGCCAGGTAAAGCTGTCAGTCTTTTTGTTTTGGAGCTCTAATTTCAGTAGCTTTGCAAAGGCAATTTGCCAGTTGGCTAAGTGTGAAAAATTGACATTGAAAAGTGGACAGTTAGAGAATAGCTTTAATTCACTCTGTTTGTTGTCATTTGCTTATTTAGAGGAAAGTTTAACTTATATAAAAAATGCTTTTTATTGGCCTGTATAAATTTATATACTTATTTATATGCCTATGATATCATAAACAGAATTCCTATTTGGTGTATTTGAAAGTAAATGGAGAAAAAGATCTAACTTTAAAAATCTGCTAAGATTGAATCATAGTTGTTAATGCCAGATTCTGATATTTTTGTGAAATGTGACTCAAATAATGAGAGAGATTGGCCGATTTATCCCAATCCATGGCTTAGTTCTTTGCAAACGTAAATACTATTTGATTTTTGTCTATTATCTATCAGTGATAGTGTTCTGGGAAGTTGATTCAGAATAACAGCTTCACAGGAGGCAGATTTGTTAACTAGAATATTAATTTACAACAGGATAGACATTTTTACATTGACCACAGTACTTGTAACCGTTATTCAGACATCCTCTTCTTGGTATTAGGATACCTGAGAAACCAGTTTGGTCATCAGAATATGGATTGGTAAATAGGGAAGCAGAGCAGAACAAAGTGCATGGATTGGTTTGGAGGATAGCTTACCCAGGCTATGGTAAGTCTAGAATTATTCTTGTTCTATTTCTAGTGTTTAGATAATCATGCCATAGTTCTATGAGTACTGTCCTTTAGTATCTTTAAGATATCTTTATAGTAACTCTTGGTCAGTAATGGGCAAATTCTTACTTTTTGATTCTTCTTTCCCCACATTTGGTGTACCCTTTTGTTAAAAATTTATATTAATGTGATTAGTTTGACTGATACTTACCTTTGGCTGCTGATAGTTTACTCTTTTTTAAAAAAAAATGTTTATTTATTTATTTTGAAAGGAGGAGAGAGCTTGCTCAGGGGTATGGGCAGGAGAGTAGTGGCAGAGAGAAAGAATCCCAAGCAGGCTCTTTTGCTGAGCTCTGAGCTGACATGGGCCTGGATTGATCTCACCAACCACAATATCATGACTTGAGCTGAATTCAAGAGTTCAAGCCCCACATTTGTCATGGAGTCTACTTAAAAAAAAAACAAAATAGAAAACAAACTGGGTTGATGATTGGTAGTATCAAACTGCTGATTGACAAAATGTATATACATTTGCACTGTGGGACTGTTTGGTATTTATTTGCATTTAACAGCTTGTGAGTATATTACGTGAGTACAGAATTATAGGCAGCTTATTTTGGAAAATGGTAGAGACATGCTTTATTTTTCTTAGTACACACACATTGCCAATAAAAGCATCTATGTAGGTTGTTAGAATTAGACTAGTGATGTTAAAAAGAACAATAACACAGCAACCAGGCTTAGTAAAATTTAAAATAGTATATAATTCAGTAACCATAATTTTCATTTTTATTTGTGTGTGTATGTGTATATGTAAGTAAATAAGCAATCCTCTATGCCCAACGAGGGGTTTCAACTCACAACCCTGAGACCAAGAGTTGCATGCTCTATCAACTGAGCCAGCCAAATGCCCCAGTAGTTCTTTCTAACGACAGTAAAACTTTTGCACTGAGTTAAAGTGGTTTACCTGAAAATATCCAGCAACAGTTGGGAGGTGGGCAAGGCTCTCTTTCCATTGTATTGGTGGTTCTGAATACACTTTAAATTTTTTTTTAATGTTTTATTTATTTCTGAGAGAGAGAGACAGTGTGAGCAGGGGAGGGTGAGAGAGAGAGGGAGACAGAGTCCGAAACAGTTCCAGGCTCTGAGCTAGCTGTCAGCACAGAGCCCAACGCGGGGCTCAAACCCACGAACTGTGAGGTCATGACCTGAGCCAAAGTTGGTCGCGCAACTGACTGAGCCACCCAGGCGCCCCCTGAATACACTTGGATAAGTGTAAGAATCACCTGGGATGGTTAGTAAACTAGGAGCCCTCCTTCCAAAAAGTCTGATTCAGTAGTATGAGGCAGAGTCTAAATACCTGTATTTTTAAAATTCTTTTTTAATGTTTACTTGTTTAAAAGAGAGAGTACGAGCACACAAGCAGGGGAGGGATATAGAGAGGGGGAGACACAGAATATGAAGCAGGCTACAGGCTCTCAGCTGTCAGCAGAGAGCCCAATGCAGCGCTTGAACTCATGAGCCACTAGATCATGACCTGAGCCAAAGTCAGACACTTAACCAACTGAGCCATTAGGTGCCCCTAAAAAAATCTGTATTTTTTTTTTAAATTTTTATTTATTTCTAGGAGAGAGAGAGAGAGACAGCGTGAGCAGGGGAGGGTCAGAGAGAGGGAGTCACAGACTCTGAAACAGGCTCCAGGCTCTGAGCTGGCAGTCAGCACAGAGCCCGACGCAGGGCTCGAATGCACGAACCGCGAGATCATGACCTAAGCGAAAGTTGGACGCTTAACCGACTAAGCCACCCAGGTGCCCCAAAAATCTGTATTTTTGATAAGCATCCCAAGTAAACCTGATGCAGGAGGAATAAGGACCATACTGTAAATAACTGTTTAGTCTACCATGCTGCTTCCTGTGCTGTCTGTGATAGTGACTTGTTATGTTGCTGCTCAAGCCCTTCTCTCTTCTTTCTGAAGAGACCTTGAAATCATAGTGTCCTTACAATTGTAGTACTGACAATAAGTCTGCTTTGTGTTGTGCTCCAGTCCTCTAAGCATTTTGCTTTTGAGTATCCCTTGGATATATCTGAATTTTCTCATAATGTGGAAGATAACTCATGTATTACTCTTTTCTTTCATTTTTGACAATTATTAAATTAAAAATCTCTCTGACATAAATGTATGTTTTAATGAAAATGAATCTTTAGTTTCCTAACATGACTGCTCTTTCCCGTCTTTATCTTTTCTTTCCATGTTTTCTTCTCTACTTATTCCTTCCTCCCATCTCTCCTATTATGTTTCTTTTACCAAACTATGAGCTTCTTAAGCTTAGAATAGAATCGGTGCTTAATAAATGTAATGAATAAGTGAATAATAAGTCTTGTATTTTCTAAGTATTATTAGTCACGTGTAAGTTTCATGGGCGTTGTACTCATTCATGGAAAGACATTTTTCTTAAAAATGATAATAATAAGGAAGAATTCAGGGGCGCCTGGGTGGCTTAGTCGGTTAAGCGTCCGACTTTCGCTTAGGTCATGATCTCATGGTTCGTGGGTTTGAGCCCCGCGTCGGGCTCTGTGCTGACTGCCAGCTCAGAGCCTGGAGCCTGTTTCAGAGTCTGTGTCTCCCTCTCTCTCTGACCCTCCCCTGTTCACGCTGTCTCTCTCTATCCTAGAAATAAAATAAAAAAAAAAAATAAGAAAGAATTCAGGATAAGAGTCAACTTAGTGGAAACTGGAAGGTGATTAGGAATTATCACTCTGGAAGCTTCAAAGATACTAATAATGATGTAATTTTTTAGTTGGTTGGTGGGTATATTAGTATCAATAGGTGTTTGGAAACTGGCTGTTCATCTTAGCTCAAATAGGGAAATGTGAAATATAAACTGTTAGGACTATTTGTAACGTTAAGCGGGATGGTCTCTGTACTTGAGATGGTGGACTCTAAAATGAAATCCACTAGATTTGAAAACTTGATTTCATGGAGATTGGAAGGAAACTCTCAACACAACTAAGCATTACAAAGGGCTTAATTAAATGAGTTATTTTAATGTTTGTTTATTTTTTGGAGGGGAGTGGCAGAGAGAGGGAGAGAGAGAATCGGAAGCAGGCTCTGTGTTAGCAGCACAGCGCTCAGTCCCACAAACTGTGAAATCATGACTTGAGCCTAAATCAAGAGTCAGATACTTAACTGACCGAGCCACCCAGGCACCTCTTAACTAAATAGGTTTTTAAAAGTTATAGTAAAATACTATTAAATTTTTCATTTCACCATGTTTACATTTACAGTTCTGTGGCATTAAGTATGTTGACATTGCTATATAACCATCATATCATTCATCTCCAGAACTTTTTAATCTTCCCAAACTGAAACTTTGTATCTATTAAATGATAGCTCCTCACTCCCTCATTTCCCTAGTCCCTGGCAACAACCATTCTACTTTCTTTCTCTGTGAATTTAACTAGTCTAGGTGCCTCTTATAAATGAAATCATACAGTATTAGTCCTTTTGTGTCTGATTTATTTTACTTAGCATAATGTCCTGAGTTCATCCATGTAGCGTTTATTACAGTTTCCATCACTTTCATGGCTGAATATGTTCTGTTCTATGTATATACTCCATTTTGTTTATTCATCTGTCAGTGGACACTTAGGTTACTTCCATGTTTTGGTTATTCTGAAAAATGCTGGTATGTAAATGAATGTATGAAGCTCTGTTTGAGTTTCTGCCTCAGTTCTTTGGATATACACCCAGAATTAGGATTGCGGGATCATATGGTAAGTCTGTGTCTGATTTTTTGAGGACTTCCATACTTAATTAAACAGAATTTTTACACAGTTTTCATTTATACAACTAGTTCTGTGAGGTTCCAGAGGAGAAAGTTGCAGGAAATAGCCTATATCTACAGGTTTTTGAGAGAGCAAGCTGATGGCAGCCAGACTATAAAGAATGTAGTGGAGACATTCCTTTGTCTTTGTTCTAGGAAGCCTGGAAGACTTAAACTCTGTAGTGGTTAGTATCTGTTGCTGTTACTGGATTTATCACTTGAGATATATTACCATATAAATAACATGGTTGTGTGACAAATGGAGTCCTTCCTATTCTTATCCTCCTCCCTTTAAATGCTCTGTTGTATTGTGAGGCCTGGTCAATACCATCAGGCTCATTTCCAACATGAGCCAGTAGTAGCAGAAGGAGATACCAGTTTTCGTTTCGCATGGCAGGAGCTGTGCAAATGCTGCCATTTCCTCGCTGTGACTGTCATCCAGCGAAGCCTGTGCAGCTCCCATCATATACAGCTGTTATTTCTGGAACCTTGATGCATTCAGGATATCAATTGCATTGATTTCACCTCCTACATAAGCTGGTTTTATGCATGAAAAAGCAAAAGGCTTATAATATTGGCTACCTCAAGAAAGAAGCCAAAGTACACATGGTGGAGAGTTCCATATACCACTACGAGTAGGAAAATAAAATAACCAAGGTCTCAACAAGAGAGACCAAGAGACACCATTCAAAGAACACTTTCTGAACGGACAGGCCCAGGACAGTCAATGAGCCTTCTTTGTGGTACAGCAGCATTCACAGGTGCAGAGTGCATAAAAAGCTTTTAAAACTAACAAGAGATAGAAAGCTAACCATAATGATGAAATGGAAGAACTCTCCTCCAAAGAAATTCCAGGAAGAATTGACAGCTAAAGAAACTGCTCAAAACAGATATAAGCAAAATAACTAAAGAATTTAGAACAATAGTCATAAAATCAATTGCTGGGCTTGAAAAAGGGATGGAAGACAACAGAGAAACTATTGACACAAAGACTATGGAGCTTAAATATAGTTGTGACGAATTAAAAAACTGCTGTAAATGAGATGCAAAATAAAATGGAGGCATCCAATGCACGGATTGAAGAGGCAGACAGAAGAATAAGTGATTTAGAAGACACAATTACAGAAAAGAAGAAGCTGAGAAAAAGAGAGATAAACTCATCCAGGAACAGGAA